TATTTTAAAGTCAAGGAAGAAAGCCTTTAAATTTAGGAAGTGTGTAAAAGATGTGTTGAATCAACATCTTAATTCAAGAGGAGGCAATAGTCATTCCAGTTTCATCACACAGAGAGAATTCATCGTGCGGAAGTGCTGCTGCAAGTACTTTAAAAATAAAATCCCAAATATATCGGCATTCCTGTCACACAAGCTTTTAAAATATTTGCCCATCACTCTACATAGCTGGAGTCATGTGCCTGTTAACCTTTTCTGTAAAAAATAGATGAAAATATAAAAAGACACCCAGCCTGGGCAAGTTAGAAAGACCTTGTGTCAGAATTTAAAAAAAAAAAAAATTTTTTTTTCTTTTAAGTGCTGGAGATGTGGCTCAGTGTGAAGGCTTTAGGTTCAGTCCTCAACCCTAAGCATCACACACACACACACACACACACACACACACACACACACACATGCACGCACGCATATGCTTCATATATAATCAATACATATATTACATCAAGCATAATGTATACCCAATTTTTAAAGAATAATTTTAACTATGACATGGGTTTTGTTTTGTTCTTGTAGTGCTTGGTGTTCTACTCAGAGGGTTTGCCCTGAATTGTACCCTTCTCCCCTTTTGAGACAGGATCTCACTAAATTTCCTAGTCTAGAGTTGAACTGCTAATCCTCCTGCCTCAGCCTTCTCAAGTGCTGGGATTATAGGAATACACCACCATTCCTGGCTGGCATAAAGTTTTTCATTTTGTTTTGTTTTGTTTGATTTTTAGTACCAGGAATCAGACTCAGTACCTTGCACTTGCCAGGCAGGCACTTGCTGCCATGAGTTTTAATCTAGAAATAACAGTAGAAATCTGCAAAGAATTTTGAAAAACCCAATCTGTTGGTTAGAGATTTTGCTTTATCAGTGATTCTTTATTGATTTTGTTTATCAGATTCCAAATAAAGGACCCCAACTAGTTTTCATAGTCAGCAGGTATATTTGTATGCATTCAGGATGGTGGGTAACATAGAAAATATATTTAACTGAGTGCCTAAGTACAATGATTATTCAGCTGTTTAAGAACTGCCATTTATGTTTCTGATAAAATTCCCATATAATTTATAAAAAGTTAGTTCTCTAACCATATAGTAAATATACCTGTGCTATATTTGGAATTCTGATTAATGTTTCTAATGGCTTTTCTGGAAGGAAGCAATGGCCTTACCAAACCTGTTTAATCATTAAATGGAAATTGTATTTGTCTGCCACCTGGAGGATTCATGGAAACACTGCAAGTGGCAGATTTAATAATAAAAATATTGCAACGTACGTGATAAATGTGTTGCCTAATGACCAATGTTGGCTGATACATGCACAGACACGTTTATATATTTGTGGCCGATGAGAGTGGAAAACCTGTGGCTTAAAGGTGGATAAAAATACTGCATAGGGATTGGGGATATAGCTCAGTGGCATAAGTGCCTGCCTGGCAAGTACAAGGTCCTAAGTTTCATTCCCAATACAAACAAACAAACAAACAAATCTATATAGGCTTTCACACACATGCCATAACACAATCTATGCTTTGCTGAAATAACTTTATCTTGCATAAAAAATTGCACACTGAAACCAGACATGGTGGTGCATGCCTGTAATTATGGCTAACACAGGAAAATGGCTGTTTGAGCCCAAGTTGGGTTTCAAAATGAGTTCAAGGCCAGCCTGAGACACACAATGAGACCCTTTCTCAAAAAACCCAAAAATCAATACATATGTTTTAAAGATTTTTGCATTGCGTGGACCATTCACAATAAACTTGTCTATTTCACAGAGACCCTTAAAAATAAAAGATTCTTACAACCTCAGCAATCACCTGATGTTGCTGGAACAGGTCTTAAAGAAAAAAAAAACTTTCCTAGATTTGAGCAATCTCCCTCAAACCCTCCTCCTTTCTCCTGGGGCTAAAACTTCTTGCTCTGATGCAGATAAGATTGGCAACTAGGTCTGGCGAACAGTTTATGTCCACGTGTCCTCCCAGGGTTCTTAAGGCTCTGTGTCTGTCAAGGCTGAGTTATTTACTGCTTTGAATAGCTTTGTCTCATACCCTTGCTTCTCTCCCAGTTCCTAAAGAACGATCCCCTCAGCCAAGTGTGTCAAACTAGAGTTTTAGGGTTCACGCAGCCATTTTTTTTCTCTCTCTCTTTCTGAGACAGGGTCTCACTATGCAGACCAGGCTGGCCTTGAGTTCACTTTGTAGCCCAGCCTGGTCTCGAACTCGCAACAATCCTCCTGCCTCAACCTCCTAAGGCATGTGCCACCACACCCAGCTTTACTCAGCCATTCTGGATATCATAAGGTCAAGCTGAGCCAGTGTGTACATAAAACCCAGTAAATTCACTTTCTTCCCCACTGGTCTCTCTGATCTCTTGATTATTCAATATTCAAGTTGAGGGCTGCCTTGACAGCCCTCTGTCCCCTCTTTCAGTGGGATAACTGGTGTGGGCCTTGTTTTAGGACCTTCTCAGTGGCCCACTAGTCCTCTGTTCTCCATGTCCTGGCCTCCCAGCAAGCTCACAGTGCCCCATGTCGAGGAAGACCCTCCACTTGCATTTCTGGTACAGATCTCAATAATGTTCAGATATGTGTGTGTGTGCGTGTGCGTGTGCGTGTGCGTGTGTGTGTGTGTGTGTGTGTATGTGTAAAAGTCTAAAAAACTCTGCTACTAAGAAACTTGAGGGTTTATAAGTCTGATTGATGGTAGTAATAGAGTTATTGAAATTTGAAAGGATTTTGTTTATACTTTTTGAAGATTTTAGCTCATTTTAATAACATTGTTTGTTTGTTTGTTTGTTTTGCAGGACTAAGAATCAAACCCAGGACTTTGTTCATGCTAGGTAAGTCCTCTACCATTGGGCTATACTTCCCGCCTTTTTTTCTTTAAATTTTGAGAAAGAAGGGGCTGGGGATTTAGCTCAGCAGCATAAGTGCCTGCCTTGCAAGCAGGCAGTCCTGAGTTATCCCCAGTACCGATAAAAAGGAAAAAGACCAAAAAAAAAATTTTTTTTTTTGAGGAAGACTCTAAATTGACTAGGTTAGCCCTTAACTGATGATCCTCCTGCCTCACCTTCCCAACTAGTTGTTATTACAGGAATGTGTCACAACATCCACTATTCTTCTTTGCTATACTCGGAATTGAATTCAGGAAATTTTCATTGATTTACAACCCCGTTCCTTTTTATTTATTTATTTTTGAAAGAAGTTTTCACTATATTGCTATGAAGCTCATGCTGTGTTCCAATTAGAGATCTTCTTGCCTCAGCCTCCCAGAGTGTTGGGGTTATAGGCATATGCTGAGGAGTCACTCTAGTGTATATAAAGAGATAGCCACCCTGTGGTGACACATGCCTGTACTCAAAGAGTCTGAGGCGGGAGGAATCCAAGTTCAAGGCCAAGTCTTGACAACTTGATAAGGTCCTGTTGTACAATTAATTAAAAAATATGGCTATGGATGTAGCTCAGCATCCCTGGTAATACAAAATCAGTCAATCAGTCACTCAATCAATCAGCTGTGGGAGAGATGACAACCAAATTGTATGCCTATGGGAATGACACACACAGTTGCAGGCACAACGTGAGTGATGCAAGGATGAAAGGGGGGAGGAAACGAGAAGTGGCTCAAGGGTAGGACTCGGAAAGGAGTCTAGAAGCCTAGCATATGTGAGAAACACAGTTAGCAACACTGCACAGGATTCAGGGGCTTCCTGGCAGCCGCGCTCAGTGATGCAGACTTGTAACCCCAGCACTCTGGGAAGCTGAGGCGGGAAGATGGCAAGTTTGAGCTCAGCCTGGGCAATGTAGCAATTTAACAAAATTTTGTTTCAAAATAAAAAATAAAAGAGAAGGGCTTGGGACAAAGTCCAGAGGGAAGGCCCTGGAATAGGGGGTTCCTTAAAAAACAGGACTTGAGGTGCTCTAATCTCCAAAGGGAAAGGTGCATGCAACTGAGATGGAGTATGCATTCATTTGCTTGACTACACATATCATTTCACTGTCTATACTATCTACATGTCTCAAAATATATTTTATGCCTTAAATATATACAATAAAATTTATCTTAAAACCAAGAAACAAACAGTTCTTTTGACTCTGTATCCTATAGCTGTTGCCCACCCCTCCCTTCATTTTGCAGCAAATCGCTTCAAAGACAAGCTCTCTAATTATGTCCTCCCAGACTTTCTTTTTCCTTTCTTCATTTTGTTTTGTTTTGGGTTTTGTTTGTTTGTTTAGTTTGGTTTGGTTTTGAGACAGGTCTCACTCTGTAGCCCAGGGTGGCCTCAAAATCATGGCAATCCTTCTGCCTCAGCCTCCAAAGTGCTGGGATTACGGGTGTGTAACACCATGCCCAGATGCCCTCACATTCTTTTTTAAATTACTCTCTGAGGTATGAGCCCCCATGACACTTCAGGAGTTGCCAAGGTCAAGCTCACCAATAATCTGTCTGGCTAAATCTTTCTTTATTTTTATTTTAAAGGGAGTAAAATTAAACACAACAAAACAGAACAAAATAGGACATAAGAAAGTAATGTAAGAGATATAAATTTCAAAGCTAGCGACCTGAGATCTTCACGGTCTATCATATTGTCTCTTGTTTTCTTCCAAATAGTTGTCCATGTCTTCGCATACAGAGAATTAATACAAAACAACATAGTATAAAATTGATCTGAACAGAATGAGGAAGGCGATTTAGGTCTTCAAAACCAGGTAATAGGGAAGTCACTATTGGCTGTCATAGAGTCTTTCATTCTCTTCAAAATAGCTGTCCATACTTTCATGTATATTGAAGTGCAACAAAACAAAACAGGCAGTGGGAGAGATGTTGCATGGTTTCAGGATGCTCCAGGTCCCAGCATGGCCCGGGTCCCAGTAAACTCCTATGGCTCCTGTCCTGGGCCACTGCAACCTGCCACACTCACAGCCGCTCATGGGGGAGGGAGAGGAGGTAGTGGTTGCTTCATGCTGTTTTTTTCTAATGAATTGATCATTTCACTGCCCAAGTTCTGAAATGGCCAACAGACCAAAGAAAAAAGACATCTCTCTTGGCTCCTGTTTAAAACCAACAGTGTCAGGAAGCTGCCGGCCTTGATTCAGGGCCAGTCTCTGGCTAAATCTAAAGGTCAATTCTCCATTACCACCTGCCTAGATTTAGCATCAGTATCTGACACAAATCAGTCACTTTCTTCTCCTGGGTGAGTCACACGGCTTTCAGATCAACACACATTCTTGTTGCTTATTGAGAAACACAGAGTTCACAAAAGTTTGTGAATCAAAAATGCTACTCAAGAAAAAAAAAAGCAGGAAAAATTAATTTGTTCCCATATAAAGCACTCATCATTAATGTAGTTCTTTTTATTTATTTATTGGACTTTTTTGAGACAGGTTCATTATGCAGTTCAGGCTGGCTTTGAACTCACAGCGATCCTCCTGCTTCAGCCTCCTGAGTGCTGAGATTACAGTGTGCACCACCACGCCCAACTTAATTTAGTTCTTTACTTTAAAATTGCTATTAAGAGCTGATACCCAGTGAAAAATAAACAATAAATCAACAAATAAAAAGGGCTGGAGATGCAGCATGGTTAGAAGGCTCTGTATTAAACTTTACTTTCACACACAAAACAAAAGAAACGGAAAGAAAGAACAAATTAAAAAGAAAGAAAAAGAATAAAGGGGAAAAATGTATTAAAGAATTAAGTCTTAAACCTGCTTTTCTAATGAATAGTCCCAGAGCATGTGGGTAAATTCTTCCAAAGAATACTAGTAAATAAATGCAGATAAATGATACAATCAATTTTAATTGGGTCAGTACCAATTGGTATGAGAACATGGAGGTGAATTATGGATAAAGAACTTGTCTTTGTTCTTCCAAAAGGCATCATATAGATTAGTTTCTGTTTCCAAGGGAGAACAAATATGACAGGCTGAGCTTTGTGGCATATGCCTGTAATCATGGTACTCCGCAAGGCTGAGGAAGGAGAATTGCAAGTTTGAGTCAGCCTGGGCAAGTTAGTGACTTTGGAGGAAAAACTCCATGTCTTAAAAAATTAGGGCTGAGCTGGGTGTGGCAGTGCATTCCTGTAACTCCAGCACTCCGGGAGCCTGCTTTAGGCAGCAGGATCACAAATCAGAGCCCAGCCTGAGCAATCTGATGATTTACTGAGATCCTCTTGCAAAATTTTAAATGATTTTAACAATGTGAGTTCGATCACAGGTACCAAAAATTTTTTTTTAAAAAAACATTTTAAGAAGAACTAAGGATGTAACTCAGTATAAAGACCCTGGGTTCAACCCTCAGTGATGACAAAAGAAAACAAAACAGAATATGGGGCCAGGGATATAGCTCATTGACAAGCTCAATTCCCACTACAAATTTAAAAAAAAAAAAAAAAAACCAACCCAGAATATGGCCGATTTTAGAAACAGACTGCCTCCACTGTAATCCCATCATAAATCTTTTTTTTTTTTTAATGGACTGTATCCACACCTTTACAGGAAACTCTCGGGATGGCATTTTTTTTTTTTTTTTTTTTGTCTTTTTCCTTTTTATCGGTACTGGGGATCGAACTCACGACTGCCTGCTTGCAAGGCAGGCGTTTATGTCACTGAGCTAAATCTCCAGCCCCTTTGGGATGGCATTTTGAGGAAACAGTGAGACGAATCCCAAACGTGGAACATTCTAGAAGAACGGTCTTCTGACAAATAGGTGTTGAGTAAAAAAAGGAACTGTCCTGGATTGAAAGAGATATAAGGAACAAGAAAGCCAAACACAGGTATAGTTCTACATTGGCTGTTAGTTTATTTAGTTACTGTCCTATTGGGCATTGAACTCAAAGGGTTGGCCCAAAACCCAGTGAACTTTTTATTTTGAGAAGGCTATCACCAGGTTCCTAACCTGCTCAGGCTAGACTAAAGTTTGACATCCCCTGCCTCAGTCTCCCAGAGCGTTGGGATTACAAGCACATGTCACCTTGCCCACCTGGCTCTTAATTTAAATCAAGCAGTTGTGAAGGTAATTTTTGGGGCAACTGGAAAAATTTGAATATGTACTGGATATTAGGTGTTATGTTGGCTAGGTAGGAAAATGTTCTTTTGTTTTTAAAGACAACGCAAAGCGTAGCTGTCAAAGGCAAAATGCCATATTTCCATGACCTTATTTATTTTTATTTAGCGCTAGGGATTCAACACGGGGCCTTGTGTATGATGGCAGGTGGTTTTTGCTTGTTTTGTTTTAAATTTATTTTATTTTATTTTATTTCTTTTTTGCTTGTTTGTTTCTGAGCCAGAGTCTCCCTATGTAGTCCAGAATGGCCTTAGATTCACAATGGTCCTGCTGCTTCAGACCCTCGAGTGCTGGGATTACAGGAGTGTACCACCATGCCCAACTGAAATATATTTTAAAACTGAGCAAAAGATGTGACTTTTACAGAGTAAAAGAAAAAAGCATGATTCTTTGTTATGGTTGTTTTTCTTTTACTGTTTTTGTTTTGTTCTACTTTGTTTTGTTGAGACAAGGTCTTGCTATGTAGTCCAGGTTGGCCTCAAGCTTAGGGCACTGCTCCTGCCTCAGCCCCAAAAGTGCTGGACTAACATGCATGTACCACCATGCCCAGATAACAAAGGACCTGATTCTTTAAAATATGAGAAGATACAGAGCCTCACTTGTGGGCTGGGGATTTAGCTCAGCAGCATAAGTAGCTGCCTTACAAGCATACGGTTGTGAGTTCGATCCCCAGTACTGATTAAAAGCTACAGAGCTTCACTTGTAATAAAAAGAAACACAAATAAAATGTTGAGATTCCACTTCTTACCTAACAGATGGGCAACCATCCAATGTGACATTCTGTTAAGAACTTATCAGAAAATAAGCACACTGATTTGAGAGTGGAAAATGGCACCGTTGGAAATTCCATGGAAGGAAATTCACAGGACGTAGTAAAATGACACATTCATCCTGCGTGGTGCTACTGGGGAGACTGGAGCACTGGGTTCTGCATCACAAGTGTGCACTCCCAGGCCTGGTTGGTACACTGTAGTTACCTTCCGACTCAGCAATCCCACGCCTGGGAATGTACTCTCAATGTACACAGCCATGAATGTGCCGCTACTTGCACACAAGATTATTTGCAAAACATGTGATGGTTAACTGTTGTGTCAATTTGAATAAGAAATGCCCAAACGCTTAGACTAGCTTAGTTCTGGGTGTAGTTGAATGGATTTGCTGAAGGCAGAAGTGGGTGTGAGTGACAGCAGCCAATAGGCTTGTATCCTGAGCAGCATGAATGGGGATGGAAGGAGATGCTGGATGTCTCTCTGTGCTGTTGCCTTTGGGCGGCTGTCCCAGGGTTCCAGCGCTGTGGCTTCCGATGCAGACACCAAGCGGACCCTGCAGTCAGTTCCAGCTCTTCCAGCTTTGATTGGATCTTTCATTTTTTTTTCTGTCTTTTTCGTTTTTATCGGTACCAGGGATCGAACTCATGACTGCCTGCTTGCAAGGCAGGCGCTTATGCCACTGAGCTAAATTCCCAGCCCCATCTCTATCTCACAGCCAGCCCTTTTGCACTTTTGCACATCAGACTCGGTAGGCAGTCACTGTATGCTTACCTTGTAAATCACAATATATCTGTTTATCTAGAGAGCACTAACTAATGTATGTTATCTGTATAGTAATCAAGGAAAAGAGTCAAAATGGAATAGAATTGGTTCGAGGCTTTCAATATTAAGTCAGAGCCAAATATAGCGGCCCATATCTGTAATCCCAGTATTCTGAGAGGTTGAGGCAGGACTGATATTTGGTTTGAGCCCATCCTGAGCAATTGAGACACCTGTCTCAAAGGAAAAAAAAAGGGGGGGACGTGGGATGTATTAAGTAAGAAGGTCCTGGCTTCAATTCTCAATACCAAAACAAAACAAAACAAAACAAAACAAAACAAAAAAACCCAAATTGTAACACATTCTACTGTAGCTGCATGCAGTGGTACAGGCTAGGAATCCCAATACTCCCAGAAGCTAAGATAGGAGGACTACAAATTTAAGCCCTTCAGGCTGGTCTTGAACTCACTTATATAGCATAGGATGGCCTCGAATTCATAGCATCCTCCTGCCTCAACTTCCTGAATGCTGGCATTATAGGCATAATCTACCATGCCTGGCCCTAGAGTTTAACTAAATGAACTCAGCAATTCCACACCCAAGGATGTGGAAGATCGCACCTTAGGGCGGCTCACCACCTCGATGGTATAAAGGGGAAATGAGGAAGGGCAGACTTGTTTCTGTTCTTCAGAAGAGCTCAAATCTTTGCCTTCACCTTGGCTATTATCTCCTTCTTCTGGCACAGATTCTCCAGCTACCAGCCTAGATCCTGCCACCTTTTGCACAGATCCTTTGGCCACGGACTTGCATGGGAGACTGAAGGGAACTCCAAATCTTGGACTGAAGTATTTCATCCAACTTGGTGAGTGACCAGGGTGAGGTAACCTTGTAAATTCTTACACATCTGTATACCTTGTGTTGTATCTGTTCCTCTAGTAAACACTTAAAAAGCCCCTGGGTCCAATCCTTAGTGCCATAAAAAAGGGGGAGGAATCAGGAGATCTGTCAATCAGATCTCAGACAGGTCCAGAGCAGAATTTTGACTCAAATGGCCAACACTCCCAAGTATAAGGCCAGAGATGTGAGCTGACTTCCGGACAGAACCAAGCTATCCTTTCTTAAATCACTGGTAACCTCTGTTGACTGTCAGACCACAGATCCCTGCCTGCCAGCCAGGAACTGAGATCATAGCCAGCCCCTGTCCTACAAGACAGCCAGTGCCAAAACTTCAAGACTTCTGCTGGTACCACCCATATTTCTTGAGTAACAAATGATATAATTGCCAGCCCTCTGGCCATTTACTATAAATATAGCTGCTGATTTATAAAACCTGGGAGTTTATAAAACACTGGGAGTGCCACATCTTTGAGATTAGTTGAGTGCGTTTTACCAAAGTGCAATCTTACTTGGCCCCCCAATAAATATGATTTTCTTTGTTCTTAACCATGTTGATTTTTATACTGGGTGAACATAGCAAAAGATTGGAAATCATACAAATAACTTTTGACAGG